TTTTTAAAATTGATTTTTTTAACATAATGTATTTTGATCATGTTTTTCCCCCCTTCCCAGTTCTTCCCAGATCCTCCATATGTTGTATCTTTCTATAATGTGTTCCTTAACCTATTTGTGTAAAGTAGTTGCTATATTCTGTTTTAAGCTATATTGTGTTTTAAGCTTATCTGACAAACTCCACCTTTTAATTTAAATGGGAAGTTTAAACCATTTGTGGGATTTACTTATTTTTGAGATAGTTCTGTCTTGCTATGTTGCCCAGATTGGCCTTTGAACTCTGGAGTACAAATGAAATGCCTGTCACAACCTCCTAAGTATCTGGAACTACAGGTGTGTCTTAGTTTGGGTTACTATTGCTGTAATAAAACATTGTGACCAAAAACAGTTTGAGGGGGAAAGGGTTTATTTGGCTTACATATCCTCAATCAAAGACCACTGGGGGAGTCAAACCAAGTGGGAAGCTGGAACTGATAACAGGCCATGGAGGGGTGCGACTTAGGTTTGTTCCTCTTGGCTTGCTCAGTTTTCTTTCTTGTAGAACCCAGGACCACCACCTCAGGAGTGTTCCCTCCTACAATGGACTGGGCCTCTCCATATCATTACTAATTAAGAAAGTGCCCTACAAACTTGCCTGTCTGCCACTCAATATCACAGAGGCATTTTCTCAGTTGGGATTCCTTCCTCTCAGATGGCTTCTGTGCCAAGTTGACACAAAACTTGCCAACATAAGATGTATGCCATTGTATAGTAGGACTCTCTTTGTACCACAAGCTCCTGAATAATGACATGGAGACTTTTTATTAATTATGAAAGCTTGGCCTTAGGTTAGGCATGTTCCCAACTAGCTCTTAAAACAAATTAACCCATTTATATTAATCTATGTTCTGCCACATGGCTTGTCACCTCTGCTCAGTATCTTATGGCCAATTTACTTCATGTCTTGTTAGCAAATCTCCACTTCTGTGATTCCTTCCCCCTAGTTGCTATTTCTCCCTAGAAGTTTCACTTACACTCTCCTGCCTATCTGTTGGCCATTCAGCTCCTTAGTGAACCAATCAGAAGGTGCCTTAGGCAGGTGAGGTAAAACAGGGATATCTCACATATTGTGATCAAATATTCCACATCATGCACTCAGTTTTAGGCCATGTGCATTTATTGTAATTGACATATATTCAAATAAGACTCCTCTGGTTATCACTAGGACACAGGAAAGCCAAAGATTCTTTTTGTAGTAATCAAGTTAAGAAATAAGGGCTTATGGCTCAGAGGGTAAGAATGCATGCGACCATGCATGACAGCCTGAGTTTGATCCCTAGCACCTATGTGGAAGGGGAAAACAAAACAAAAAAAAACAACCCCCAAACAAACAAACAAACAAAAAACAAAGAAAAACAAAACAAAAAAAAACCCTAACTCTGTGACATGGATATTTCCACACACATACATAGCCCCTCCCCCAATAAATAAAGAAGAATGAATAAATAAAGAAGAAGAATCAATGAAATTGTCCTGGACAGGGAATATGAAAGGAGCTATATAATGAAAAGAAATGGTGTTTGGACCAATTTCTAGATACATCATTAAATTTCAAGACATTAAAGACATTGCAGGATAAAAGACATTAAAAAAGATAAGTGACCAGCTGAAGAGAAATGCCAGAGGTAGAGTACACATGACTGTGGGTAGTTTTATGGATTGTCTATTATACCACTTCACCTCCAGTTTTATTTATCCAGACCATGACAGACAATTCTGAAGGAACATCCGGGTTGAAGTCTCCAAGAGTAACCCTGGGTTTGATGACTCGCTAGAAAGATTCACAGGACTCAGCATATAGTTGTCCTTGTGGCTATTATAGGAAAAGAAGCAAACCCCAAACCAGCAAAGAGAAAACGCACATGACATGAACTTGAGAGGAAATTTGAAACTGGCAAGATTCCTTCCTCAGTGTAGTCATGCACGACCTGAGATTCTGGTGGAATGAAACTGTGACAATAATGTAGAAAATACTGCATAGCAGGAAAGTGGATTCAAGTATCCAAGGTTCTATCACAGACTAGGCTCACATAGGCACACTTTGCCTAACACAGTCCCACATTTCAGATTCCCAGAAAAAAAGGGAGGTATTCAGTGTAAATCACTTTGCCTCTCATCCTGTCTTCATTTGATCCATCGCTCTGGCCTCTGGAAAATTTTGATCTGTTTTGCAGGACAACAGCAGATTAAAGCAAATTAAATCAAGCAGTAGCCCTGTGAGGAGCTGTAGTATTGACTACACAGCTATGTGCTATGCAACAATTGGGTTGGTGCATGCTCTTCCATCCCCATTAAGGATTAGAAATATTCTATGCAATAAGTATATATAGCCTTGCCCCAAAGCTATTGATTGTATTGCTTTTGTTATAGAGATCTCTACTACACAGAACATCCTAAACAAGATCATGTAATTGAAAATATGGATGAGGTTAATCCAATAAGACAAATATAAACTTAACATGCTAGTGCATGCCTGTGAGTCTAGTACTTGGAGACTGAGGCAGGAGGGTCACATAATCTAGGCCAGAATGGGCTACAAAGTGAGACATGCCTCTGAAAGGTCTTTAAAAGCGTGGGTAAGACCACATACTGCTCCTGTAGAGGACCTGGGTTTGGTTCTCAGCACCTACACCAGCCTCACAACGGCCTGTAACTCCACTTTTGGGGGACCCAACATCCTCTTCTGGATTCTACAGACCCGTGCATTCATGTGCACACCCTTTCTCATAAACACATAATTAATAATAAATCTTTTGTAAGTGTCAAGTACATTCTCTTCAAGGTATACATAAAACACATGTGCTGTAAAGGGTGGGGCAAAAAAAAATCTGTAACACTCAGGAGACAGTGATTTGGGGCATGCCAGGACATCTCCCTGAAGTAAAGGACAAACCATTATATTTTGCATGCTTTGCTCTGAGTTAGGGATGCCTGGTAGTCTTCTGTGTTCAAAGGCAGTGTATTTCACACCCAGTAACCCTGCTCTTCCCCATAAAGGGGAACATGAAGAGCTGCAAGTTTTAAGAGATTACTGAAAGCAGCCCAGTTCATACTGCATTAAAAGCTGGGCTGATGGAAGACACAGATGAAAGCAAGACCTGTTTATATATGTGTAAGGAGTATGGTTTTTCTGCCCACCGCCTGGTCTTGCCCCACCGCCTCACCAACCCCAATTAACACACAGAGACCCTGTATTAGATATAATTCTGTTGGCCAGGTACTAGTTTCTTATCGGCTAGCTCTGTCTTAAGTATTAACCCATTTCTATGTATTTCCACGTGGTCTTACCAGCGAGAGGCGGCTGGTGGTTCTGTTCTCTCCAGATTCTCTATCTTGACTTATATGTGTTTTTCATCTTTCTTTCCTGATGGGAGATGTCATTTTGTAAACATGTTTCTCATACTGGCTAATGAATAAAGCACTGTTGGCCAATAGGAAAGGAAGATAGGAGGGACTAGGAGACAAGGAGGAAAGAGCAAGTAGTAAGGAGGAGTCAACATGGAGAGTCTGGCGAGAGCAGGATGCCAGCCAGCTCTCCGGGAAGATGAAAGCATGTGGAAATACGTAGATGAACAGAAATGGGTTAATACTTAAGACAGAGCTAGCTGATAAGAAACTAGTACCTGGCCAACAGCATTATATCAAATAAAGAGTCTCAGTGTGTTAATTGGGGCTGGCATGGCAGCGGGACAAGACCAGTGGCGGGAGAAAAAACCTTACCCCTTACACTTTCCCAGACCGTTTTATTGAATTAAGGTATAAAAAACATAACACATTAACTAGACAAAATTTATTTTCTGTTTATTTTCCTTTTCTTTTGTGTCAAAATGTTTTTCAAATAAATAGCTTTCATTCCTCAATTACTTGTCAGAATTTTACTTTTAAAAACTAAAACTAAGTATATTCTTAATACATTTTTCACCTTTTTTTCAAATGTTTTAAAAGACTTGTATATACAGGTACCTTTAACAACAAAGTCTATTTTCAGAGATTTAAACTTGATATAGAGGAGATGCCACACCAAGTTCTTCATACCTTCTTTGGAAATCAAGTGTGTTCCAGGGTCTAGAGGCTGGTCCATGTTTAGAAACTAGAGCCCTGAGGTCAGCCTTGGCCACCTGAGGACTTGCAGATAGGTCATGGTTTAGCTTTTCTTTATACATAGCGGTTCTTCCCTGGAAGACCTGGGCTGCAGTCTCTGGGCAGTGGACTGAAGTTGGGCCTGTGTTCAGGCATTTGATTTAAAGTGGCAGATGGCAGGGATCCTTTAAGTATGATTTCTATTGGTCATTATTTCTCCAACAGAGTAAAGAGCACATGAGAAACTCGGGATCCTTACTGATATCTCACCCAGCTACCAATGTCTCAGAGATACAGACCCAGTGAGAAAGAAGAGAGACCAAGTTCACCATGACACAGCAGCCAAAGTGACTGCAACTGTAATAGGGCAGAGTCTGAAACCTCCCTCTAGAGAGTCTACCAGGCTTGCTTTATTGCAGGCAGCCAGGGGAGGGGATGTCTGGACATGCCACTGTGCTTTTTCTTTTCACTGTTGCCCAGTCATCAACTTAAACATACATGCTCACACACAGGCTGAGGATTTAGATTCTAGCCACACTTCTCATTAGAGTACCCACCGAGACTTAAAAATTAAACAAGGAAAATAAATAACGGGCAGGTAAAACCCACCCACCCACCCACCCAACTAACCAACCAAAAAATGCCCAAACCTTTGACGGTAATAAAAGAACCTTAATAACTTCAATCTTAGCACAATAATTATCTTTCAGATGTGGGGAAAAAAATCTCTTCTAGCGGGAAGATTTAAAGTCCCACATGAAATTATAATATCTTAAATATGTGATTTGTTAACACAATGAAACAATTGCTGCATACAATCTAAAGACTGCACAGATCTCTGAATAAGTTCATCCACACTTGTGCCTAATACGGGGTGGGAGTCTGGCTAATACTTTTTATTTTAATGTACAGTACTTGTGATTCTTCAGGTTTTTTAGTAAGGAATCAGGAGAAGCAAAATCTCTAACATTGGGCTCAATCAGTGAATAGCTAAGGCTCTTCTTTTGTGTATTTTGTAAGGAGTTTCCAAATAGCTCTTCTACACATTCTCTGAGCAATTACTGCCACTGGATAGTCACCAGCTCTGTTTCTATTGCAAGACCTACACTTTTGAAGTACCTTTCTTGTGTTTTACAGTTTTCCAAGTGTCAGCAATATCATCTTCTTAAAAACCACAAAAGAGCTTTGCAAGTCTTCAGTTGGTGGCAGTACTGTACATGACGGAGCTGAATGAAAACAGCAGCTGGGAGGTCACCTTCTTGTGGACTAACACCTGCTCACTGAAGTTATTCTTTGGTCTTTGAAGCGATTCTGACTAGTCCATGTGAGGAGAAATGATTCACAGTGTCGAAAAACTCACATCCTGTCAGGAGTCTTCTCTAACTGGCTCTTAACTTAAAAGCCAATAAAACTTCTCCATGAGCTATTTTCAGGGCCCATGCTACACAGTGCCTTATTAAAAACAATACTCTCTAGTATGGTTAATAACTAAAGCACCTTGGGTTGGATGCAAGATGAATGTGTGCTGTAAACAAATTCTGCTTTATAGTAAAATATTTAAAATGAAAATTACTATAAACCATATGTACATAAATGTAGTTAAAGTTAAAATCCTGATATTCTGATTGCTATAATCAATGCGGTCAACTTGATATATTTCCTTACCTTTTCTGAGATTAAACCATCTTACAATAGTGAGCCAGCACTAGTTTAGGTCTGTAAAAACATAATAGCCACAAATCACACAAAAGCATAACCACAATGCATTCTGAACATCTTAGTAAGGTTCTGGCTAGCAGGGACAATGTGTAATGCTGTCAGGACTCCAAAGTGCTGCCAGTGCCGATGGGATTTAGCGATGGTGTGTGAGGGTCTTCTGGGAAGCATCATTGATGTCAGTTGTAGATGGAACATATAAGAAATTACTTCACAAAATCCAGCCTCATTCTGTGTTTTCACAGCACTCCCAACAGAAAGCATCCAGTCTACTGGCTGTTTCTTGGCTGATGAGACATTCGTCCTTTAGTTCCCTGATTGTCTTCCTCAGTGATTTTTGAAAATGTTTTTCTCGGTCCAAAACATTCCGTAGACTTTCCTTGGTATTTTCTAGCTCGATGATCACATGATCCAATTTATGCTTAAGTTTCTTTGGACTGTCCATAACACTGTAGCTATGTTCCTACAACATAAACAGGTTTTAAAATAAGAAAGGAGGACAAGCTTAGTACTGTTTCAGCTATTTCTTCACTCATGGAATGTAGAGGAGACTGTCTGAGGTTTAAGGAACACAGGAAGGGGATGGGAGGCGGAAGCAGCAGTAGGGTGCCTAAGCCTCACTTCCTTCTGAGGCTCAGCATACATGAGCGGCATGGAACATACTTCTCATTGGGTCCTGCCCGCTAAGATGAACACTAACGTGAAACTGCAATGGCTGCCGTGGCACTTGCCAAACCTATACAACTTTCATTCCCTATGTGTATGGTGCTGATAAACAGTTCATATTTATCAGACGAATTCCAGGTATTTTTATTTATTTATTTTTTTACACAGGGTCTCATGTATCTGAGGCTGGTCTTGAATTTGCCATACAGCTGAGGATTATTACTCTGAACTTCTGATTCTCCTACCTCTATGTAAGGAACATGTACATCCCCCTTGGAGATCAAACCTTGGGCTTCAAGAATGCTAGGAAAGGACTCTATGACTGGGCTACATTCCCAGCTCCAGGGTTTAGTGCTGGTGTGTGGTACAGTAAATTTTCCTTCATTTTGATGAATAGTTTACTTTATACGAGGGGAGAAACACTGGACTGGGTGCTCAGGCTGAGTGTTGGGGACTGGAGAGGACCCCAGTCCTGGAATTTAAAAAAGATACTTTAATTCCCATCAGCATTTATTTTGGCTATGCTTAAGTATTTGACAATATACTTTCTCCTGTTCATTTGAAAACAAGGAAAATAACACTGACATAGATACTATAATCTAATTTTGTAAATTTATTTAATATTAAAATTATTAGAGAGGATTTTTGCATCTAGCCAAGATAATGTGTAAGATTGGGCTGATACCACATGAACCAATGTGTGGCACAGAGACCCAAACAATATTTGAGGATGATGAGTACTACACAGGAAAGGCAGCTTGGTGATGGATGGTGAGTGAAGCCTGCTCAGGACAGTAAGAAGTCTTGCAGCTATGGAACTTGAGTGTTCCCATCTATTTCCTTTAACTTCTCAGCACTGTTTGATAGCATTACTGTCCTGAGCTCTCCATTCTCCCTGAGGTATCTATGAGGCATCAGCAGACTAGTGAAAATTGCAGCATGGCTTTTACAAGGTAGAATTTTATGAAGTGATCTTAAATCATATAAAAATGCAAAGATAATAGCCAAAAAAACCTTGATAAATAACAAAGTGAGTAGACTAACAGCACCTGATTTCTACTCAATGCCCAACACTTACAGGAACAAGCAATCTGTGAATAAGTAAATGGAAGCCTGAGTGTTCTAAGTGTGTGACTGCCTTTCAATGAAACCTAAAGATATGGCTATTTTTTAATTACATATTTCCATGGAGAAAATATAACACATAAAGGGAAGAGTTATTTTATTGGTGGAATCATACTTGTGAAAGCATTCTTCAAACTAAGTATGTAATCAAAAGAGTAACTGCTCCTCATACATTCCAACTGCAATGACCCTGGGGAAGCCAGCTTGTTTGGAAACATTATATAGTAAAGACCCCCTCCCTGAAAAGTCTACTTGCTGTTTTGTGCTATGACTGACATATTAGATCCTAGTGGAGAGACCATATTCACCGTTAAAGCAATTAAGTCAGCAATTAACTCAGCACACAATTCTACTTACAACAATGAATTGGGGTTGGAATTCTTCAATGCATGAGGCACTGACAAGCTGGTGACTAGTGACTGGAAGGTTTTTGAGAATGAAGTTCTTCCTGAAATGAAGTTTTTCTCTCTTCTCCTGTTAGGAAGTTAATAACAACCACTGAGATACTGTATCCGTTCTTACAATTTGATTCCTTTGTAGTAGCCCTGTGTAGTAAACACCACACTTCTTTGATACATTTCCTTCTCTTTACTTTAAAAGAGCATCATCCTTCAAGCAACTCTAGGGTTCATCTACAAACATAAAATTCCCCTACAAATGAAAAAAGGAGTGAAAATCAAAGATGATACTTCCTACCAGCTGAGAAAAAGATGATAGAAGACCTGACTAGGTAAGTTACAAGAAATAACTCACAGTTCTTGGAGAAAATGCATTCTCAGATTTATTAAGAGACATCAAGGGCAAAGCGGCCAACTCACAGCACTATTACTGAGAAAGAATGGAATTCAACTGGGTTTACTACCCAACTGTCTGTTTTCCTTTTGTGTAACATTATCTCTCTCTTCTTTTCTCCTTACCCTCTTTTTTCCTGTGGGTTTGTTTGTTTGTTTATATCTAAACTTTAAAGTTTACATCTGTGGCTTCACGTGGAACATACTTCCATCCAGTTTGCAGTTTCCTCTGTTTTTGTTTCTGGGTTTTTTTTTTTTTTTTTTTTTTTTGACAGGGTTTCTCTGTGTAGTTCTGGCTGTCCTGGAACCCGCTTTGTAGCCCAGGCTGGCTTTGAACTTGCAGAGATCTGCCTGATGGGATTAAAGCACTTGCCCACTCCCTACCCCACTATTGAGCTCTTAAGGGCTATCCATCTGAACCTCAGCTCAACCTTCTTCGATTTTTAAGAAGCTGGTTCTGAGGTAAGACGATTCCTTCCACTAGTCCACTTACCTAAACCCTAGTCATGTACCAATGTTTATGGTGGCTGCTGGCCACATCATCAGCTAAGCATCAGGAAAGCAGAATCTACAGTCTATGAAAACCCACAGAATGCACTTGAGTTGAAGACAGTACCACAGACGAACCTATGAGTGCTGAAGTCTTCAGAACTCTCCCAGGAAGTAGGTGCTCACAGTGAGCAGTAGCTTGTCAACAAACCTGTAGCTGAAATGGGACCTCAAAAACAGAAGGGATGACTCCGGGTTTCAGTTTAGTATTTGGAGTACTTCTGTCAAAATCTGTCTTCTTGAAGTGCCTGGAGCACAGCACATCTCCCTTTTTAGGCTCCCAAATGCCTGCAGCGTTCACATCTAGTCTTTTCATTGCTAATACCCATTTTCGTTTGATGTTTTCATCTGTGGGGAATCTAGAATGAAGAAAATTTAAAACTAAATAATACTGATAATATTTAGGAAATATGAGTCCTGCTTATGTAACAAATTAATTTAAAAATACATTTTTTTGTATTTGTGTTTGTGTGTGTGTATGTGTGTGTGTGTATGTGTGTGTGTATGCATACAAACATCCCACAGTACACAGAGGGTAATCGTGGGCATTTGTTCTTTCTTCCCTTTATGTGGATCCTGGTTGTTGAACTTAGGTCATTAGGCTTGGTGACAACCGCCTTTACCCACTAAGACATCCTGCTTGCCTCAAAACTCAGTTTTAATATCTGTATTTTTCTGCCAACCATTCATCAGACATGTGATCTCTATTTAAAATTTTTGCATATCATATGGTCTTTTCAATGGACATTTAGCACCTTGTAGTAAGGTCTGCAATTAAAGGTTTCTCCCTTATCTACAGACATTAAAGAATACCACTGGCCTTTCCCTTTCTGAGGTGACATCTAGAATCTATCCTGAATGAATGAGGCCTGTTGTACTTTCACTTGTCATTACCCATAAGTTATTTGGAATGACAGCTAATATAGCAAGTCTTAGATGCTCTATGAAAGCATGCAAAGAATAGTGGCAGAGTCTAGAATTCTGAAGATATGGGGGGGAGGGGGAGGTCAACGATAATATTTCTAAAATTACCAATTTTAGAATTGACAAGGTAGTGTATACATACTAACTTTTAATTTTCATGTCTAGCAAAGTAACTAGAACTTTCCCTAGGAAAGACAACTGTTTTTCACACAAAAGCTGTAAAATCCTTAGCACATTTATTAAATTCTATTCGTCCCTTCCCATTGGCCTCAGAGGAATGGCCAAAACACTAAGTCAGAATCCTCGGGCTTTATCTGCAATTTGGCTAAATAATCTTTGGTCCGAATTCATAATTTATAGTGAACAACTTAAGCCCTGTCTGTTTCTGAATAGAAGAGATGTGTAAAGATCCCACATTTACACTGTAAATACAAGTAAACAATAGTGAACTTAACAGTTACAATGCAAGTAACAGTAGCAAAGGTGAATCTGACAACTTGTGTGTGTGGCTACTTTATTTTTGGTGGTGTTGTTAATCTTTGATTCTTTGGTATTTAAAACTTGCACATAGCTATTTTAAAAGGACTTGGGAACTAAAGCTTGAAGCTGCAGACTTAGGCAGAATCGCTCATTTCAGTAAAAGTTCAAAGTATTTGGCTTGAGCCAATACTTGAGAAAAGTCTTACACATGAAATGTCAGTCCTTTTAACTTGGAGTTTGGCAAACAGCGAGATGTACATCCAATGGCTGAACAACATTTCACCATGATTTTAGCAACTCATAACAAAACTGTAAGAGAATTAAAACGAGTTAGTAACTTTAGGGCTAAAGCCAAAGGCAATTCCCCAGCCCCCAACCTCTTAAGTTTTGCTGCTAAAATTTTCTAAGGTCCCGGTAACTTTGTAAGAGTGGACATTTAGTTATGTACTTTGAGGTGTGAGATTTCAATTGTGTAGGCTTGGTTATTTCTCGTGTCCTTACACAAGCCAGGGACCAGATTTTCCCTGCCACAGATTTGTACTGTTTGCACTTCAAGTTCCAGCTGGAGCGTCCCCCTTTCCCCAGGGACACACCATACACAATTAATTATCCTTCAAGTGTCCCTCCAAATGGTGATCTTATTGTAACACAGTGACTTTTTTTTCTCCCAGTACCTGTCTGAGTTCCACTGGGGCATGTCACGGCGTGCCTACTTTTCCCACTTTTGTTCCCGTCTTAGCTGGTGTCCCGCATCGGGAGACTGCGATGGGGAGAGCGCAGCCGCCAGCTCGAGGAGCTGCGCGAGCTGCCACCGAGCCCCGCCCCCTTCGGGAGGCGGCCGCGAGTGGGGGCGAGGGAGGGGCCTGTCCTCGCAGGCGCCGGGCGGCCGAGGGCGGCCTGCAGCGGGGCCCACCCGGCGTCGCAGCGGTCCCCTCCGCTCCGAGATCGGGGCTGGCAGCGATGCGGCGTGGGGAGAGAGGAGCCAGCCCAAGAGTTGTTACCGTTAGCGGCGAAGACAACGAGTAACGTCGACGGCGGAGTTAGTGCCTCACTCCGCTTCCGCCCCGTCCATCAGGAACCGGAAATCCGGCTGCCCCGATCACGTGAGCAGCCGCCATATTGGCTGCGGTGGTAGCCGCTGCGAGGAGGCGGGGGTGTCGGAAGGCTCTGCGCTTCTGAGGCGTGGCTTCCAAGCTGGGGGAAGGTGCTGTGGATCGTGAGGGGAGGTGGAGGAGATGGCGGCGACGGAAGATGGCGTCCGCAGCCCGGAGCGAGGGCGGCGGGGCTGCGAGCACTATGACCGAGGCTGTCTCCTCAAGGTGATGACTTGAAAGGGCACCTTCCTGAGAGGGTGTCGCCGGGTCAGGCTGGGGCAGGTTGGCCTAGGCGGTTAGCCTAGGGCGTACGTTTCAGACCGAGCTGCTTGTTAAGATACCTTCTTCACCTGGAATTGGGTTCCCCACGCAGGGAATGGAATGTCTTCTGGCAAGGCGAGCGTGAGCTCTACATTAGCTCTCAGCGTTTGCACTTTGTAAAGAGCCGGGCCTTGCAGAGTTACTTACCCAGGTTTATTCGTCATTCGCGGTTGACAGTAGAAAAGAGGCAGTGTCAGGCCTGACCTAACCATTCTCCAGGACCACTGATGTGTATGATGGTCAGGAAAGGAGGATAAGCCAAGGGAAAATCAGAATGTGATTCCTGCTCGTTGTAGGAAGTACATGGTGTAGCCTGTCAGGTTCATATTGTTGTCAAGGAGAAAATATAAAAGTGTGGTATGAGAGACAGTTGTGTAATTGCCATTAAATTGGATTTTGGAGAAGTGCCTAGTACGTAAATGCTATTATTTTTGCTGCTTGAGAAACGTTCTAGTTATCTAGAGTTTTTAAAAGTGGCCCTCACACAATTAAAGAGTTTCCAGATTTTTTTTTTTTTTTTTTAAGGAAGCGATTGAGAAAGCCTGATACTTGAGCTGGGGGTATAACTCATCGGCTGTAGAATTTGTGCTTAAAATGCTGGAGGCCCTGGTGCCAGCCATCCGAAGTCACCTCCCACTGAAAAGAAACTTGACTGTTGGGATCCTGTAGCTTTTTCCCCATACCTCAGTTCTGTACCCAATTTGCTCTGCGATTTTGAGCAAGCTGCTTTTTAAATGGCTTGCGTATAAAATGGCAATTTTAGAAGGAAGAGTTCTAAAGGTGAAGTTGTTAAACAATCATCTAGATTGCTGGTTCTCAACATGTGGGTCATGACCCCTTCACAAGAGTTGTATATCAGGTATCCTACATGTCAGATATTTACATTATGATTCATAACAATAGCAAAATCACAGGAAGTGGCAACAAAATAATTTTATGGTTGGGGTCACCACAACATGAGGGTCCATATTAAAGGGCCGCAGCATTAGGAAGATTGAGAACCACTGTGCTAGATCTTAAGGCTTAGACTCTAGAAGAATGAGAGCATTAACTATGAAATGGTGTCAATAAAATATTTTTTTCTGAGTGGTTAATGAAGCAAGAGTAATTTGAGGTTCCAAGAAAGATGCAGAAAACTCAAAGAAGTTTATCTTTATTGATTATCTCACCAAGAAATTAAGAACAGGAAGTCACCTGGTCAGTGAAGATATTAAATAAATAAAATATATAAAAAAGTAGTTTAGTGATAAATTTTAGTACAATTTCTACTACTAGTGTAAAAAATGAGTTCTGTTAATAATGGTATCTGTGTTTAAGGGAAGAAAACTTGGGAGTTTTCCTGATTATAGTCTTCAAAAGCTCACATGGAGATCATGAAGGGGATTGCCAGGAATCTCAGAGTAATAACATTTAAAAGCTTGGGGCCAGACATGCAAAAGTGTAGTCTTCTCTGTTGCACAATTAAGCCCTGGAATTAAAAACAAGCAAACAAAAGAGACCAGACAGTGTGGTGGTGGTTTTCAGCTGTAGTAGCTGCTTCCTATGCACATCAGTGGGTGGGAGTGGACTTAACTAGTGTTAGGGTTTTAGTTGTCTGGTATTTAGAGAAAGGGAGGAGGCAGCTTTGCTGTGTGCAAGGGAACACTTGCAATTAGTTGAAAAGAGGAGTTAGTGGCTAGAGAGCTTCATTCTTGGAGTTGAGATACAGATCTAGCATAGTCCTTTCTCTGGAGTAGCAGTTCCAAAGTGTGATGACTGGATACCCCAGGAATCTCTTAAACTACCTTGTAGAATAGTAGATATTCTGTAGCCAGTGTGTTGACATTTGTACTGATGATGGAAAGCAATGATTAAAGGTAGTCTCTGTGTATTGATCATATAGTGATTTTGTATTGTAATCAGGTACACTGTAGCAAGCACTTTGGTTTTCTTGAGTAAAGGTCCTTTGACTTATGAAGTAAATTAGTTGTTTTGTTCATGGAACATTTTTTCATTTGAAAATAATTGGTTATTCAAGAGTCTACAGCAGCTGTTTCTCAAAAGTGGGGAAGGAATCAAGACTCATGAAAGAGAAACAACTGACAATGCTTAGAAACATGAGTGCTTCTGATATGAGATATTGATCCTCATGAACAAAAGTTCTTTGATATCCTTAAGAGCTTTAGTGCGCAATAGGGTCCTGCAATAGGGTCCTGAGACCGAAATGTCTGTGAACATTGTTGTGTTCACACTTAGGTATGAGAATGTGTGGCAGAGGAGGGTTGGGATACAAGATCATCTAAAGTGAGAAAATATAGGCTATTGAAAGGATTAAGTAGATGTACTCATCACTAAAATTTAGACAGGAGTAATGTTGGAGAAAAAGAAGCCAATAGCATGTTGTAACTCAAAGGATAAACTATGTTATAGTTTACTAACAGCATTAGGAAATGGTCAGGAATGTGCAGATCTATAGAATAGTAGTATTTTGGAAAGCATTGGGCTAGCCACCTGGCCTGGGAAATTCTTTTTTTTTTCTCCCATATTATTATTATTTTTTTTCCTGACAACATCATATATTTTGGTCATTTCACACTCCCCTTTCCCCCCAAAAAGAGCTTCTCTTTTTTTGAATTCTGGGATTAGGGATTGAAATGAATATATTGTATGTGCCAGGAAAGTACTATATCAATAATCTACATTCCCAAGCCTGGCATTTCTTGATGTAACAGGGTAAAAGTTAATCACTTACAATGAAATGACTAAACAATAATGAGGTTTAAATAATCAAGAATACATTTCTTTTCATGTAACAGTTCCAAAGTGTGATTCAGATGGGTAAAGAGAAATCTGTGTTCCACTTGGTCATTTTAGAGTCAAGTTTTTTTTTTTTTAATTATTAATTATTTTTTCTGTTGTATTATTTTGACATAATTTTAAGGCAAATGATCATCTCTGGGATCCAACTGTAGAATAGTGAGTAATCTGTTTAGGAAGAGAGGAGCAGATTTCAGTGAACAACTGACAATTTTTAACATTCTCAAAATGAGTGAGGCTGGGTGTGGAGATGCAGGTATTTAAGCCTTGCACTTAGGAGGCAGGGTAATCTGCTCATGACCTGCCTGTACTACTTATAGGACAGCCAGTGCTACATAAATAGACCCCCCCCCAAAAAAAGTCTGTCTCTCATTTTTTACATTTATTGAATCCTGTGCACACGCATCATAATTGGTAAATATTAGTGAAGTTAAAACATTTTGTGTTTAGATGTAAAGGTGTGTAAGTGATTTTTTTTCTGGCAATGTCTAATAAGGTGTTCTCTCCTGTGTAGGCTGAAAATGAAATTCACTTGTTGTGGGGTTGGTTTTTCTGTGTAGAGATTTCTGCCTGTCTTAATGTTTGTGTTTTAAACTTGTGTTTAGAGTCATTCAAACAGATACTGAAGGGGAATATTATTAGCATCAAATGTGTCAAGAAATGAATGCTAGCCATGGATCCATTGGTTGTAGCCTCTGACCTTGATCCAGAGAAGGAGGTAGGAACTGAGGTAGGAACTCTCTCTCTTTATAATTAACTTATCTTCTTGTCTCCCCTTTGTTCCCCTGGGTGTTAGGCGCCATGTTGTGACAAGCTTTATACTTGCCGGCTGTGTCATGACAACAGTGAAGACCATCAGCTCGATCGCTTCAAAGTGAAGGAAGTGCAGTGCATCAACTGTGAAAAGATCCAGCACGTAAGGTTCTATGACACCGGCCTTACTCTTCTCTAAAGTTTTAAGATGGCTTCAAAACGTTTACTCAAAATCAAAAGTTGGAAATGAGACTGAACGCTAACTCTCTGAGGAAGTAACACTGTTGAGTTAGATGTTTCAAAACATAAAAATAAGCTAACCATGATTTAATATGAATTCTGGATATTTAAATAGTTTTGTAAATTTATTTGTTTTTAATTACTGTGTTCTTTTCAGGCCCAGCAGACTTGTGAAGACTGTAGCACATTGTTTGGAGAATATTACTGCAGTATATGCCATCTGTTTGATAAAGATAAGAAGCAGTATCATTGCGAGAATTGTGGAATTTGTAGGTACTGTATATAAAATGTCCTAATCATTTTTAGTGCATTTGGCCAATAATAGTGTATTAGTTACTTTTCTGTTGCTGTGATAAAGCACCATGACCAAGGCAATGTGGAGGAGAGGAGAATTTGAGCTATAGTTCCAGAGGGTAGAGTTGGTGATGGTGGACATACACACAGACACAGACACACAGGCATGCATGCACGCACGCACGCTACACGGGGGACAGTTTGGCAGCAGGACACAGTTCTCAAATGTCACCACCAACAAGGGACCAAGTATGTAAATACTGGAGCTTGTGGGTAACATTCTCATTCAAACAAGAACAGATAGTTTTAAAAATTAACTTGTTTTGTTTTCAGATAGGCTCACTGGCCTCATTATGTTGGCCCCAAACTCAGAGATCCACCTCCCTCTGCCTCCTGAGTATTGGGATTAAAAACTTGTGCTATCACAGCCTGACTAAGATATGGTCATTCAAAAGTAGTAATCTGATTTATTGCCTCTAGGCTCATCATTAGAGTTCAGTACAGTGTTTCTTTTTGTTTTTTTTTTCTTATTTTTGAGATTGTAATTTAATCACAACATTACTCTTTTCTCTTTTCTCCCTCCAAACCCTCCCACATACTCATCCCCACTCTCCTTCACATTTGTGGCCTCATTTTTT